GGTGCAGGCTGCTACCCCGTACAGCACAGGGGGAAGCAGCCAGCTCCCTCTCCTCCCACCCAGGGCTGGATGAACCAGCTGCCTGTCTACGACCCCGAGGTTTTCCACCCCTCGCTCACGCACTCGGTGCTTGCCACGCTGGATGGGGCCACCCTCAAGCTCTCCTACCCCAAGAGCAATATCCCGCGCCGAGCCACCTTCGAGGAGGAAATCCTTGATGCCGTCTTTGTCAGCCACCGCTGCTATGACCTGACTGATGCCAAGGTGAGTCCAGCAGTGCCAAGGACCCTCCCATGAGAGTGGGGGACTCTTACTGTGTGGGGACCCCCAGTGCCCTGGCCTCACCACCGCTCTCGGTGTCGCAGGTCTTCCTCTGCCCACCCAGCCTGGCCCGAAAGCGGACGTGGAACAAGAAATACCCCATCTGCGTCCTCCTCCCTGACCCGGCGCACATGGAGTGCAGGATCAGCGAGGAGCACGACACGGAGCTGCAGAGGAATGAAGGGATGAAGAAGGCACCAGTGCCAGGCCAGGATGTCCCAGGGGACTGCAAGGAGAGGTGCCTGTACCTCTTCGGGCGGACGGGGAGGGAGAAGGAGGAGTGGTACCAGCACCTCATGCGAGCCTCCCGCGGGACACCCAGCAGCAGCCACGGCGAAGCCCGGGCAGGTGAGAAGCAGCCATCGTGGCCTCTGCTCTGTGCCGGGACTGATCCGGGGTGGGAGCTGCACATGTGCTGGGAGGACAAGCCCTTGGTAGGAGGCAGTGAGCCTGGGGGGAGATGGAGGAGCCCAGAGCCAAGAGCATTTGCAGCAGTAGGCAGAGCCTGGAGGATTCCCCTCGCCAGCACAGGGTGGGTGGTGTGTCACTGGCATCACGGACGGGCAGCATGTCACTGCACGTGCATTGCAACACGTCACTGCGCATGCATCACGGCCAGGCGGCATGTCACCTCTCATGCCATCCTGACCCGCTCATGTCCCCGTGTCCCCAGGTGTGGGACTGGCTCCGCAGAGCAGCGGCAGCAGCAGTGGAGGGAGTGCCGAGGACATCCCCTCCGCTCTCCCACCCAAGGACCTGGCGGGAAGCATCCGACAGAAGATTTTCTTGGATTACAGCACCTACATGGCCCGATTCGTGCCAGCGCAGGTGGGGGGCAGCCCGGAGCAGAGCCCCTCTCATGGAGCACTGGGCAGCCCCACGCCCACAAAGGTGAGTGGGACAAATCCAGCACTGGGAGCAGGACACGAGTGCTAAGCAGAGGCTGATGGACCCTGCTTGCAGCCGCTTCCAGTCCTGTGGTTCGTCTCCTCCCTCCCGGCACTGCGGTTTGAGCAGCCAAGCCGTGGTGCAGGGGAGCACCCGGCCAGCGGGTCCCACCACTTATGGGCCCACCTCGCTCCAGGGGCTCGTGGCTTCTG